TGGTTTGGGAATGAAAATTCAATAGAATATAAACTAGATATAGAGTAGACTCTATAGAATATAAACTGGAATTAGTACTAAGATCCCAGACTTGAATATATACCACAATATAACTAGAATATAGAACATAACTAAAACCAGAACTAGACTGAACTAGAACTGAACTAGACTGAACTAAACGGAACTAAAACTGAACTAGAACTCAACTAGAACTGAACTAGAACTGAAACTAGAACTGAACTAAGACTGAACTAGACTGAACTAGAACTGAACTAGAACTGAACTAGAACTGAACTAGAACTGAACTAGAACTGACTACCTGAACTAGAACTGAACTAGAACTGAACTAGAACTGAACTAGAACTGAACTAGAACTGAACTAGAACTGAACTAGAACTGAACTAGAACTGAACTAGAACTGAACTAGAACTGAACTAGAACTGAACTAGAACTGAACTAGAACTGAACTAGAACTGAACTAGAACTGAACTAGAACTGAACTAGAACTGAACTAGAACTGAACTAGAAACTGAACTAGAACTGAACTAGAACTGAACTAGAACTGAACTAGAACTGAACTAGAACTGAACTAGAACTGAACTAGAACTGAACTAGAACTGAACTAGAACTGAACTAGAACTGAACTAGAACTGAACTAGAACTGAACTAGAACTGAACTAGAACTGAACTAGAACTGAACTAGAACTGAACTAGAACTGACTAGAACTGAACTAGAACTGAACTAGAACTGAACTAGAACTGAACTAGAACTGAACTAGAACTGAACTAGAACTGAACTAGAACTGAACTAGAACTGAACTAGAACTGAACTAGAACTGAACTAGAACTGAACTAGAACTGAACTAGAACTGAACTAGAACTGAACTAGAACTGAACTAGAACTGAACTAGAACTGAACTAGAACTGAACTAGAACTAGAACAGAACTAGAACAGAACTAGAACAGAACTAGAACAGAACTAGAAAGAACTAGAACAGAACTAGAAACAGAACTAGAACAGAACTAGAAAAGAACTAGAACAGAACTAGAACAGAACTAGAACAGAACTAGAACAGAACTAGAACAGAACTAGAACAGAACTAGAACAGAACTAGAACAGAACTAGAACAGAACTAGAACTGAACTAGAACTGAACTAGAACAGAACTAGAACAGAACTAGAACAGAACTAGAACAGAACTAGAACAGAACTAGAACTAGAACTAGAACAGAACTAGAACAGAACTAGAACAGAACTAGAACTAGAACAGAACTAGAACAGAATAACTAGAACAGAACTAGAACAGAACTAGATATCAGAAACTATAACAGAACTAGAACAGAAACTAGAACATAACGAGAACAGAACTAGAACAGAACTAGAACAGAACTAGAACAGAACTAGAAACAGAACTAGAACGACTAGAACAGAACTAGAACAGAACTAGAACAGAACTAGAACATGAACTAGAACAGAACTAGAACAGAACTAGAACAAACTAGAACTGAACTAGAACTGAACTAGAACTGAACTAGAACTGAACTAGAACTGAACTAGAACTGAACTAGAACTGAACTAGAACTGAACCATAACTGAACTAGAACTGACAGAACTGAACTAGAATTCTGAACTAGAACTGAACTAGAACGGAACTAGAAACTGAACTAGAACTGAACTAGAACTGAACTAGAACTGAACTAGAACTGAACTAGAACTGAACTAGAACTGAACTAAACTGAACTAGAACTGAACTAGAACTGAACTAGAACTGAACTAGAACTGAACTAGAACTGAACTAGAACTGAACTAGAACTGAACTAGAACTGAACTAGAACTGAACTAGAACTGAACTAGAACTGGAACTAGAACTGAACTACTAGAACTGAACTAGAACTGAACTAGAACTGAACTAGAACTGAACTAGAACTGAACTGAACTGAAACTGAACTAGAACTGAACTAGAACGAACTAGAACTGAACTGGAACTGAACTAGAACTGAACTAGAACTGAACTAGAACTGAACTGGAACTTGAACTAGAACTGAAGTAGGACTAAACTGACACTCGAATTGTTAAGGATGGAACTGATACTGAGTTAGAGCTCAAGTGAAAGAGAACTAGAACTACGAAAGATTAAGGTCAAGACTATTGGCTAAACTGTAGTCAAGACTGTGGACCACAGTATTGTCAAAGATTGTAATAAAATGGTTCGTTAAACCAAGTTTGGCTAAGTAGTACAAAAACTCAGTCTTAATGGTTGTGGGCTCTGCTAAGTTTCATTTTAGACTCTTTTCAAATAAAACTCTTTTGTTGTTGTTTCTTTTATTTTTCTTTGTAACTAAATAACAATTTATTTATTTTTCATATTTCAGATATATAATTAATTTTTTATATTATTTTATTTCTATTATTTCTTTTGTAGTTCACAATTATTAATTAGAAAAAAACATTGCTTTTCAATTGTAGATATCGTATTGAGTAAAATGTTTTTAAGTTTTTAATTTCTTTTTATTCATTATATTTGTTAATAATGTTTTATTAAACAAATTTTTTATTTAATTTTTATAATTTTTTATATTTTTTTATTTTAATTATTAGGTTCAAATATTGTTTTTGTAATATGAAATCTAATTTAGAATATATTTGTTGTTGGTATTTGTTGACTTTTAGTAATTTTTTTTTTAGTTTAAAATCCTAAATAAAAAATGTTTTTTTTTTAATTTTTTTAAATTTTCAGTAACAATTTGTTTTATAACACGCTTTATTATTAAAATTTCTACTTTTTTAAACTTATAAAAAAAGAACAAACTAATAAGTTTTTATTATTTTTAAAAATTTATTCATTTGTTTTTTAAAAAATATATATTATTAACATTTTTAGGCAATTACTAATTTTTTTTTTTATAATTTGTTTGTCATTTTAGGTTATTAATTGTAATAATTTTTAGTTTTTATTATTTTCATTTAAATTTTATTTTTATTTTAAAATTTTAAATATTAAACAACCTTTTTTTAGTAATGGAACATTAATTTGTTGTAGTTATTAAACAAAAATATAAAACAAAAAATGAAAAACAAAATTTTATTAAAAATTTTTAATAAAAGAAAATAAAGTGCCTTTTTTACCTTTTTACAGTTAAAACTCTTTTCTATAAGAGCTTTTAAAAAGGTTTCGTTTTTGGTGTTTTGTTAAAATTTAAAATAAAAACTTTGGCACTGTTTTCAATTGAAAATTGTGTTGGGTGTATCTGTGGAAAACTCGGCTTTAAAACAGTTTTTCTTTAAAAAAAATTGTAACAAAAATTTTTTCTCGCAAATTGTTGTTATAAAAACAATATATTTTTGGTATTTTTTTCTTTAAATTATAAAAAAGTGTCCAAACCTTTTTTTGTCAAAAGAAACAAAATCAAAAAGAGTTGAAATGAAAATAAGCAAATAGAACTTAAATGAAAATTTTAGCTTTTTAATAAAAAAAACAAATTTTTATAAAAAAGTAGAATTTTTAGTAAAAACAAAAATTTTTTGCAGAAACCAAATTTTTTGTGAAAAATCGAATTTTAGCCAATAATTTGAAATTTTAGTGAAAAATCCAAATTTAGTGAAAAGAGGAATTTTTAGTGAAAAATTTAATTTTTGTGAAAAGTGGAGAACTAGAACTGACTAGAACAGAACTAGAATAGAACTAGAACTCGAACTGAATTAGAACTGAACTAGAACTAAACTAGAACTAAACTAGAACTACTAGAACTGAACTAGAACTGAATTAGAACTGAACTAGAACTGACTAGAACTGAACTAGAACTGAACTAGAACTGAACTAGAACTGAACTAGAACTGAACTAGAACTGAACTAGAACGGACTAGAACCGAAATAGAACTGAACTAGAGACTAAAACTGGAACTTAACTGGACTTAACTAGAACAGAACTAGAACTGAACTAGAAATGAACTAGAACTGAACTAGAACTGAACTAGAACTAAACTAGAACTAAACTAGAACTGAACTAGAACTGAACTAGAACTGAACTGGAACTAAACTAGAACTGAACTAGAACTGAACTAGAACTAGAACTGAACTGGAACGGAACTAGAACTGAACTAGAACTGAACTAGAACTGAACTAGAACTGACTACGGAAACTGAACTAGAACTGAACTAGAACTGACTAACTGAACTGACTGAACTAGAACTGAACTAGAACTGAACTAGAACTGAACTAGAACTGAACTAGAACTGAACTAGAACTGAACTAGAAACTGAACTAGAACTGAACTAGAACTGAACTAGAACTGAACTAGAACTGAACTAGAAACTGAACTAGAACTGAACTAGAACTGAAACTAGAACTGAACTAGAACTGAAACTAGAACTGAACTAGAACTGAACTAGAACTGAACTAGAACTGAACTAGAACTGAACTAGAACTGAACTAGAACTGAACTAGAAACTGAACTAGAACTGAACTAGAACTGAACTAGAACTGAACTAGAACTGAACTAGAACTGAACTAGAACTGAACTAGAACTGAACTAGAACTGAACTAGAACTGAACTAGAACTGAACTAGAACTGAACTAGAACTGAACTAGAACTGAATACTAGAACTGAACTAGACAATGAACTAGAACTGACTAGAACTGAAACTAGACTAACTAGAACTGAACTAGAAACTGAACTAGAACTGAACTAGAAACTGAACTAGAACTGAACTAGAACTGAACTAGAACTGAACTAGAACTGAACTAGAACTGAACTAGAACTGAACTAGAACTGAACTAGAACTGAACTAGAACTGAACTAGAACTGAACTAGAACTGAACTAGAACTGAACTAGAACTGAACTAGAACTGAACTAGAACTGAACTAGAACTGAACTAGAACTGAACTAGAACTGAACTAGAACTGAACTAGAACTGAACTAGAACTGAACTAGAACTGAACTAGAACTGAATTAGAACTGAACTAGAACTGAACTAGTACTGAACTAGAATTGAACTAGAACTGAACTTGAAGTGAATTAGAGCTTAAAGGAACTCTGTATAACAAAACTAGAACTGAAAAAATTCAGAAAAAAATTATAATTAGCAAGTGCTGAGCATAAACGAATTGCAAAATGTTTGAAACTAATAAAATTTTAAAACAAAACTTTGAAAATTAAAGAAAATACTTCAATCAAATTGTGTGTGAGTGAAACTTGGCATTTAAGAGAATATTGTTGTTTTTTTTTTTTATAAAAAATGTTTTTAATAAACTTAATTTAAAATCGAAGAGATCTAGGCACACTTTAGTTAGACCTAAGTGTGTTCTTATATTTGTTGTTAAAATTTTAAACATTTGCTTAGAGTATTTGTAGAGTTATTTTGTTTAGTTTATTTAAATTAGTTTAGAATTGATTTTATTATTTCTTGCAATTGCCATCATTGGCCAAAAGTAATTCTTTGGCTTCTTTTTACATTTTTTCTTCTCTTCCTTGGCAATGAGTTTTGCCAACGTTCTTCCTCCTTGGCCAGGCGTTTTTCTTCCTAAAGGGTAAAAAAACTATTTGTATAATAAAAATAATTTGTTAATAAAATTTCAGTTACCTTTCTAGCTTCTTTTTCCGCCTTGAGTTTAAGTTTTTCTTCTTTTCGTCGCTCCACCGTTTCATTTTTCTTATTGTCGATTTTTCTTCTTCAAATTGGAAGAAAAAAAAAGTGATGGAAGCATTATAAAGAAAAAAGCTTTAGATATCAACTAAATTTGGAAAGCTTTCTTTGCATGCTAATCGATGTAAAATTTACATACAATTTATAAAATTTTTAATTAAAAATAAAATTTTGAAATTTGTTTGTAACATTAAACAACTTTTTTATTATGACATGAAACTATTTTTAATTACTTTTTCCTTTTTTTAGTTTGCTCCCTCAAATACTTTTCTATTTTTAAATACTTCTTAACCTTACTTTTTCAGTAGTAATTTTCTACTATTATTCCCACTTGTTTCATTCCCTGCCATAAAGCTAATTTACTTAACTTTTGTACGGAATTAAATGCTTTTAAGAACTCAAAACAATATTATTGTTGCTTCGGAACTTTTTTTTTCAAAAGTTGTTAACATCAAAATAACCACAGAAAAATTATTAACAATTCCTGTGTTGTTTTGTTTGTTCATATTGTGAAGAAAATACAAAAATTTATTCATTCATTCAGTCAACTTTTTAAAAATAACCATACAGAAAAATTGTTTTCAAAAAGGATGAAAAGAAAACCATAAAGTGCAAATAAATGGCAAAAGTGCAAGGTTTAAGGCGATTGGAAAAAGAGCTAAAGAATTTCGATATGATCAAGAACAGAACTAGAACAAGAACTAAAACAGAACTAGAACAGAACTAGAACAGAACTAGAACTAGAACAGAACTAGAACAGAACTAGAACAGAACTAGAACAGAAACTAGAACAGAACTGGAGCAGAACTAGAACAGAACTAGAACAGAACTAGAACAGAACTAGAACAGAACTAGAACAGAACTAGAACAGAACCAGAACAGAACTAGAACAGAACTAGAACAGAACTAGAACAGAACTAGAACAGAACTAGAACAGAACTAGAACAGAACTAGAACAGAACTAGAACAGAACTAGAACAGAACTAGAACTAGAACAGAACTAGAACTAGAACAGAAATAGAACTAGAACAGAACTAGAACAGAACTAGAACAGAACTAGAATAGAACTAGAACAGAACTAGAACAGAAATAGAACTAGAACAGAACTAGAACAGAACTAGAACAGAACTAGAATAGAACTAGAACAGAACTAGAACAGAACGAACAGAACTAGAACAGAACTAGAACAGAACTAGAACAGAACTAGAACAGAACTAGAACAGAACTAGAACAGAACTAGAACAGAACTAGAACAGAACTAGAACGAACTAGAACAGAACTAGAACAGAACTAGAACAGAACAGAACAGAACTAAACAGAACTAGAACAGAACTAGAACAGAACTAGAACAGAAACTAGAACAGAATAGAACAGAACTAGAACAGAACTAGAACAGAACTAGAACAGAACTAGAACAGAACTAGAACAGAACTCGAACAGAACTAGAACAGAACTAGAACAGAACTAGAACAGAACTCGAACAGAACTAGAACAGAACTAGAACAGAACTAGAACAGAACTAGAACAGAACTAGAACAGAACTAGAACAGAACTAGAACAGAACTAGAACAGAACTAGAACAGAACTAGAACAGAACTCGAACAGAACTAGAACAGAACTAGAACAGAACTAGAACAGAACTAGAACAGAACTAAAGAACAGAACTAGAACAAACTAGAACAGAACTAGAACAGAACTAGAACAGAACTAGAACAGAACTAGAACAGAACTAGAACAGAACTAGAACAGAACTCGAACAGAACTAGAACATAACTAGAACAGAACTAGAACAAAACTAGAACAGAACTAGAACAGAACTAGAACAGAACTAGAACAGAACTAGAACAGAACTAGAACAGAACTAGAACAGAACTAGAACAGAACTAGAACAGAACTCGAACAGAACTAGAACAGAACTAGAACAGAACTAGAACAGAACTAGAACAGAACTAGAACAGAACTAGAACAGAACTAGAACAGAACTAGAACAGAACTAGAACAGAACTAGAACAGAACTAGAACAGAACTAGAACAGAACTAGAACAGAACTAGAACAGAACTAGAACAGAACTAGAACAGAACTAGAACAGAACTAGAACAGAACTAGAACAGAACTAGAACAGAACTAGAACAGAACTAGAACAGAACTAGAACAGAACTAGAACAGAACTAGAACAGAACTCGAACAGAACTAGAACAGAACTAGAACAGAACTAGAACAGAACTAGAACAGAACTAGAACAGAACTAGAACAGAACTAGAACTAGAACAGAACAGAACTAGAACAGAACTAGAACAGAACTAGAACAGAACTAGAACAGAACTAGAACAGAACTCGAACAGAACTAGAACATAACTAGAACAGAACTAGAACAAACTAGAACAGAACTAGAACAGAACTAGAACAGAACTAGAACAGAACTAGAACAGAACTAGAACAGAACTAGAACAGAACTAGAACAGAACTAGAACAGAACTAGAACAGACTAGAACAGAACTAGAACAGAACTAGAACAGAACTAGAACAGAACTAGAACAGAACTAGAACAGAATTAGAACAGAACTAGAACAGAACTAGAACAGAACTAGAACAGAACTAGAACAGAACTAGAACAGAACTAGAACAGAACTAGAACAGAACTAGAACAGAACTAGAACAGAACTAGAACAGAACTAGAACAGAACTAGAACAGAACTGGAACAGAACTAGAACAGAACTAGAACAGAACTAGAACAGAACTAAAACAGAACTAGAACAGAACTAGAACAAACTAGAACAGAACTAGAACAGAACTAGAACAGAACTAGAACACTAGAACAGAACTAGAACAGAACTAGAACAGAACTAGAACAGAACTAGAACAGAACTAGAACAGAACTAGAACAGAACTAGAACAGAACTAGAACAGAACTAGAACAGAACTAGAACAGAACTAGAACAGAACTAGAACAGAACTAGAACAGAACTAGAACAACTAGAACAGAACTAGAACAGAACTAGAACAGAACTAGAACAGAACTAGAACAGAACTAGAACAGAACTAGAACAGAACTAGAACAGAACTAGAACAGAACTAGAACAGAACTAGAACAGAACTAGAACAAACTAGAACAGAACTAGAAAAGAACTAGAACAGAACTAGAAGAACTAGAGAAACAGAACTAGAACAGAACTAGAACAGAACTAGAACAGAACTAGAACAGAACTAGACAACTAAACAGAACTAGAACAGAACTAGAACAGAACTAGAACAGAACTAGAACAGAACTAGAACAGAACTAGAACAGAACTAGAACAGAACTAGAACAGAACTAGAACAGAACTAGAACAGAACTAGAACAGAACTAGAACAGACTAGAACAGAACTAGAACAGAACTAGAACAGAACTAGAACAGAACTAGAACAGAACTAGAACAGAACTAGAACAGAACTAGAACAGAACTAGAACAGAACTAGAACAGAATAGAACAGAACTAGAACAGAACTAGAACAGAACTAGAACAGAACTAGAACAGAACTAGAACAGAACTAGAACAGAACTAGAACAGAACTAGAACAGAACTAGAACAGAACTAGAACAGAACTAGAACAGACTGAACAGAACTAGAACAGAACTAGAACAGAACTAGAACAGAACTAAACAGAACTAGAACAGAACTAGAACAAACTAGAACAGAACTAGAACAGAACTAGAACAGAACTAGAACAGAACTAGAACAGACTAGAACAGAAGAACAGAACTAGAACAGAACTAGAACAGAACTAGAACAAACTAGAACAGAACTAGAACAGAACTAGAACAGAACTAGAACAGAACTAGAACAGAACTAGAACAGAACTAGAACAGAACTAGAACAGAACTAGAACAGAACTAGAACAGAACTAGAACAGAACTAGAACAGAACTAGAACAGAACTAGAACAGAACTAGAACAGAACTGAACAGAACTAGAACAGAACTAGAACAGAACTAGAACAGAACTAGAACAACTAGAACAGAACTAGAACAGAACTAGAACAGAACTAGAACAGAACTAGAACAGAACTAGAACGAACTAGAACAGAACTAGAACAGAACTAGAACAGAACTAGAACAGAACTAGAACAGAACTAGAACAGAACTAGAACAGAACTAGAACAGAACTAGAACAGAACTAGAACAGAACTAGAACAGAACTAGAACAGAACTAGAACAGAACTAGAACAACTAGAACGAACTAGAAGAACTAGAACAGAACTAGAACAGAACTAGAACAGATCTAGAACAGAACTAGAACAGAACTAGAACAGAACTAGAACAGAACTAGAACAGAACTAGAACAGAACTAGAACAGAACTAGAACAGAACTAGAACAGAACTAGAACAGAACTAGAACAGAACTAGAACAGAACTAGAACAGAACTAGAACAGAACTAGAACAGAACTAGAACAGAACTAGAACAGAACTAGAACAGAACTAGAACAGAACTAGAACAGAACTAGAACAGAACTAGAACAGAACTAGAACAGAACTAGAACAGAACGTGAACTAGAACAGAACTAGAACTGAATTAAAACAGAACTATCTTGAACTTGAACTGATCATAAACCCATTTTTTCAATAAACGTTGCAAAAGCTTTCTGAAACCTATTACACTCCTTTTTTCCCTTATCATATGCTATAAACAATAAAACAATTGGGGAAAAACAAAACCGAATGAAAAAAAAAAAAAAAAATTTAAACAAAAAATCCACTTACTGTGATTATTGTTGCTGCAAAAACAATGGAAAACTTTTACTAGTTGTAAATGATGTTGTTAAAGTTGAATTGCCCGTTGTTGCCTGGTGAGTGGAGGACGATGATGATGACGATAACGATGATGATGTTCCATTTGAGGTTGATGATTTCGATGCTGTTGCTGACATTGAGGAGGACGTTGATGAGGAAGATTTCATTGATGACGTTAATAGTTTGCTGCTCGTTGAAGACGACGACATTTTCGATTGACTTAATTTTAAATTAATATTATTTTTATTAGAATCAGAATTGGATTTTTTATCTTTGCGATCCGCAGATAAAGCTGTATAGGCCGATTTATTATGTTTAGAGGCTAGGGGACTTATTTTGGAACCCGTAGCTTTTAGTGGCGGCGGTGCTAATGTATTATGGGAAGCACTTATGTGTATGTTCATGGGTCTCTTAGGCGGCGATGAGGGTTCCTTGCTGTTGCTATTCGACTTAGAGTTTGAGTGCGAGTCCTGCAGCTGATGACTGGGTTTGGTATAGGAAGCATAGCTGGGAATATTTTATAAGTTCCTAATATATGTGAAATGTTAGAACAAATACTTACCGAAATCTTGGATTGCTTATGTGAACCGGTGAAGGATGTGGAACTTTGGCAGGACTGCGAAATTCTTTAATGGGCGGTAAACGATTTTGTAAATCCACTATTCGACCCTTAGTATGTCTTCTACCCGGATAAGTGTGGGTCGAAGAGGGTGTAAAGGGAGAAGGGTTAAAGCTACTACCTGCACTGCTGCAAGATCCACTGGAAGAGGAATTACTTAAAGATTTCAACGGTTTGCGTGGTATGGCACCCGAACATCCGTAGGACAGCCGCTGTGATGTGAATGCGAATGCCCAACTTCCTTAGGCGATAAGGAGCCCTGTGAGGTCCCCGATCCAGAAGTGGAGGTAGGCGAATGTGGTGATATGCTGGGAGTGGGTGGAGCTAAGTGATTATTTAAAATCATGCTGCTTTGATTATACGAACATTGTGTTGGTGATATGGGCGAGGCAGGTGAACACAAATCGCTTGAAATGGAAGACGTTTTCGAGAAGACCGATGCCGCCGACGAAGAGCCAGTCGAGCTCATCGAATACAAACTATCCGATTGCGAAACCCGGCCATTGGGACTGCGCGGATAGCGGGCGCTGTTATGCATATGAAATGCATGATGACCACTATGAGCATCATTCATGGAGTATGAACTGGCCGAGGCAGTAACACCTCCTGTAGTTACCCCACTGAGGCCCAACTTTTGGCACCCATTGAATAACTACTGGCCGATTCCTGTATACGCCAGGTGCCCGAACTAGAGGTTAGACGATTAACACGTGCCCTACATATCACACACGCAGTGGGAGGAGTCTTTGTGCCACCGCACTTTGTATGGTCTTGACAAAAGCGACGACACACCACCCGATGACCGCACGGCGATGTCTGCATAGTAGCACGTGCATTAATACAGATGACACATTCATCTTCTTGGGAAGTGGGTGGATCGGGTTCACTTTCTTCGAGTTTACTTAAGAGTTTATCCTGAAAGGAAACGAAAAAATAAAAAAGATCTTTAGTACGAGAGTGATAAATAAAACAGCCTAAAAATATGCTAACGATATTAGAAAAATAAATGATTTATTTTAATAATATATGATCTTTACCTAAAAATGTATGCGACGGAGATCGAGAGCTTTTATTAGTACGAGTTTGTATGTAACATAAACGGCGTTTTGATGATGTTGCCATATATACAATTTTTTAGCGTTTTTATTATTAAGAAAGCGCTTAAATTTAAAGAAACAAATTTTCCTAAATTAGATTATTAATAACAGCTAATAGTGATCTAAACTTTGAATGGAACTAAATTAGAACTGAACTAGATAAGAACTAGAACGGAACTAGAACGGAACTAGAACTGAACTATAACTGAAGTAGAACTGAACTATAACTGAACTAGAACTGAACTATAACTGAACTAGAACTGAACTAGAACTGATCTAGAACTGAACTCGAACTGAACTAGAACTGAACCAGAACTGAACTAGTACTGAACTAGAACTGAACTAGAACTGAACTAGAACTGAACTAGAACTGAACTAGAACTGAACTAGAACTGAACTAGAACTGAACTAGAACTGAACTAGAACTGAACTAGAACTGAACTGAACTAGAACTGAACTAGAAGTGAACTAGAACTGAACTAGAACTGAACTAGAACTGAACTAGAACTGAACTAGAACTGAACTAGAACTGAACTAGAACTGAACTAGAACTGAACTAGAACTGAACTAGAACTGAACTAGAACTGAACTAGAACTGAACTAGAACTGAACTAGAACTGAACTAGAACTGAACTAGAACTGAACTAGAACTGAACTAGAACTGAACTAGAACTGAACTAGAACTGAACTAGAACTGAACTAGAACTGAACTAGAACTGAACTAGAACTGAACTAGAACTGAACTAGAACTGAACTAGAACTGAACTAGAACTGAACTAGAACTGAACTAGAACTGAACTAGAACTGAACTAGAACTGAACTAGAACTGAACTAGAACTGAACTAGAACTGAACTAGAACTGAACTAGAACTGAACTAGAACTGAACTAGAAATAGAACTGAACTAGAACTGAACTAGAACTGAACTAGAACTGAACTAGAACTGAACTAGAACTGAACTAGAACTGAACTAGAACTGAACTAGAACTGAACTAGAACTGAACTAGAACTGAACTAGAACTGAACTAGAACTGAACTAGAACTGAACTAGAACTGAACTAGAACTGAACTAGAACTGAACTAGAACTGAACTAGAACTAGAACTGACTAGAACTGAACTAGAACTGAACTAGAACTGAACTAGAACTGAACTAGAACTGAACTAGAACTGAACTAGAACTGAACTAGAACTGAACTAGAACTGAACTAGAACTGAACTAGAACTGAACTAGAACTGAACTAGAACTGAACTAGAACTGAACTAGAACTGAACTAGAATTGAACTAGAACTGAACTAGAACTGAACTAGAACTGAACTAGAACTGAACTAGAAACGAACTAGAACTGAACTAGAACTGAATTAGAACTGAACTAGAACTGAACTAGAACTGAACTAGAACTGAACTAGAACTGAAATAGAACTGAACTAGAACTGAACTAGAACTGAACTAGAACTGAACTAGAACTGAACTAGAACTGAACTAGAACTGAACTAGAACTGAACTAGAACTGAACTAGAACTGAACTAGAACTGAGCTAGAACTGAACTAGAACTAGAACTGAACTAGAAGTGAACTAGAACTGAACTAGAACTGAACTAGAACTGAACTAGAACTGAACTAGAACTGAACTAGAACTAGAACTGAACTAGAACCGAGCTAGAAATACCAGATCAGATAGTCTGAACTAAAAACTAAGGGGCCAATACATTTTTCTTTTCTCTCTGGAGAAGTTTTCAATCAAAACTTAATAGAACTAATTAATATTATTCGTAAATTATTTACATCTGTTTTCATCATTTACGCTACATTAGACCATATTTTTATTAAATTAAAACCTTGACATTGAATTGTTTCACTTTCAGAAAAAAATATTAAGGTTCAATGTTTTTTTGCCAAGAATTTAGTTATAAAAGAAGAACAGCAACTAGAAGTCAAAAAACTTTAGATAAAATAGTGGCCAACACAAGTTATAGACTGAAAATTGTGTGCGTGTTTTTTATTAAAAAACAAATTCTTATTTTTTTTTGCAATTTTATTTTCTTCAGACACAGTCAGGGGTGTTTTGTAGGCGGTTCACCTTGACCAAGTTCGTTTGCAACAAAAAATATTAGATAAAAAAAACGGTCTATATGAATTTGTATGTTTATATTAACAATAAATAAATATAAAATTGTTTTATTAAACATATATTGAATATTTTAATATTCATTAAAACAGTTATTCACCCATGTCAGTGTGGCTTTGTGACGTATTAAATATGCAAATATTTTGTAGTTTTCAAAACAAACTATGAAAAAACAAATAACTGTTACAGTTTAGCTTTTATTAAAAAAATTTTGAAAAGTATGCAAAAATGTAAAAAAAACTTGTTGGTATCCCCAGCCAATTTTAATAAATTAACAAATACATAATTAGCTTCCGGCAAAATAACTAAAATTTTTTCATTATGTTTATGATTATTATCATTATTACCAGGTAATTAAAAGTTGTATGAATATACAACAATAATTCCAGCAGCAACAACAACAAACATTAAATAAACCATAAAAGACAATTAAAAGTAGATGGTAATTATTAAAATGAATATCTCTTTTAGCTAAAAATAAAAATTTACATTTTTGGCTAAATGAAAGTTTAAAAAAATTGTTTGTGGCAAGCTGAAGGTAATGTTTTAGAAAAAATTAAAGAGAATAAAGCCAAAACCGAAAAAGATTACAAAACCCAAACATCTGTGGAAGAACATGCAGTAACAGAACAAGAACTTCAATTTTAACGGTATAAAAAAATCTAGAACAGAACTAGAACAGAACTAGAACAGAACTAGAACAGAACTAGAACAGAACTAGAACAGAACTAGAACAGAACTAGAACAGAACTAGAACAGAACTAGAACAGAACTAGAACAGAACTAGAACAGAACTAGAACAGAACTAGAACAGAACTAGAACAGAACTAGAACAGAACTAGAACAGAACTAGAACAGAACTAGAACAGAACAGAACTAGAACAGAACTAAACAGAACTAGAACTAGAACAGAACTAGAACAGAACTAGAACAGAACTAGAACAGAACTAGAACAGAACTAGAACAGAACTAGAACAGAACTAGAACAGAACTAGAACAGAACTAGAACAGAACTAGAACAGAACTAGAACGAACTAGAACAACTAGAACAGAATTAGAACAGAATTAGAACAAACTAGAACAGAACTAGAACAGAACTAGAACAGAACTAGAACAGAACTAGAACAGAACTAGAACAGAACTAGAACAGAACTAGAACAGAACTAGAACAGAACTAGAACAGAACAGAACTAGAAACTAGAACAGAACTAGAACAGAACTAGAACAGAACTAGAACAGAACTAGAACAGAACTAGAACAGAACTAGAACAGAACTAGAACAGAACTAGAACAGAACTAGAACAGAACTAGAACAGAACAGAACTAGAACAGAACTAGAACAGAACTAGAACAGAACTAGAACAGAACTAAACAGAACTAGAACAGAACTAGAACAGAACTAGAACAGAACTAGAACAGAACTAGAACAGAACTAGAACAGAACTAGAACAGAACTAGAAAGAACTAGAACAGACAGAACTAGAACAGAACTAGAACGGAACTAGAACAGAACTAGAACAGAATTAGAACAGAATTAGAACAGAACTAGAACAGAACTAGAACAGAACTAGAACAGAACTAGAACAGAACTAGAAAGAACTAGAACAGAACTAGAACTAGTCTATACTCCAAACTATAGACTAGTCTATACTCCAGACTATAGTCTATACTCCAGACTATAGTCTATACTCCAGACTATAGACTAGTCTATAGTCCAGACTATAGACTAGTCTATACTCCAGACTATAGACTAGTCTATACTCCAGACTATAGACTAGTCTATACACCAGACTATAGACTAGTCTATACACCAGACTATAGACTAGTCTATACTATAGACTAGTCTATACACCAGACTAGTCTATACTCCAGACTATAGACTAGTCTATACACCAGACTTTAGACTAGTCTATACTCCAGACTATAGACTAGTCTATACTCCAGACTATAGACTAGTCTATACTCCAGACTATAGACTAGTCTATACTCCAGACTATAGACTAGTCTATACTCCAGACTATAGACTAGTCTATACTCCAGACTATAGTCTAGTCATACTAGAACAGAACTAGAACTGAACAAGAACAGAACTAAAACAGAACTAGAACTAGAACAGAACTAGAACAGAACTAGAACAGAACTAGTACTAAACTAGAACTAAACTAGAACTAAACTAGAACTAGACTAAGACTAAACTAGAACTAAACTAGAACTGAACTAGAACTTAGCTAGGACTGAAGTAGAGTTAAAAGAGAATGGAAATAGAATTGTAATCAAAATAAATTGTTTTCAAATTAAAATATTGGGTTGAACTTCTTAATCAAGTTGTTTGTTATTTACTTGCAGTATTTATTCGCAAGTTAATTGTGAATTAACATATTGATTTTAAATAACAAACAATACAGAAAATTAAACAAAAAAGTAAAAATCTAACACTAACACTTCAAATTACTGTAACCACAAACTTAAATGTTCAGTTAAGGTCTTACTTGTTAACACATGTTGTTGTATTTAAGGTGTTACTTTAGTACAAACAATTATTTATGAATAAGTTTTTTTTTCCAAAAATATGCACAAATTTAAATAAATTAAAAATAAATAAAAGTTTGAATGCTATACAATTAGCATAATTTTAAGATTTATATAAAAACATATAATAAAAATAAAATGTTTCATAAATTGTATTTCAATA